ATCTCTTAGTAATTTCTAAAAATCTTTCACAGTAATATTACAAGTAGTTCGCTGTCATTGCATCTTGTCTTGGATGCGACGAAGTGGAGTGTGTTCTTTGATCGATCACTTTGAACTCAATCTTATCATATTGGCAAGAAAACCGGAAAGGCTTGCCACATTGAATCATAAAGGCCAGCATCCTTAAATCTTGATTGACTGAATGAAAATCTAATTAATGTGGAAAAATAATTTTTGGAATTAAACACTAAAAGAAAATAAATATCAATATTGTAAACCATCGTAATCATAAAATCTTGGCTTTTTTATTTAATTAATACAAATTTAAAAACAAATTCTTAAAATATATTTATTTTTAAATTAATTCTCTATCTGAGCTTTTTTTTGTCAGGTCAGAGGTAATATCGGTCATGTACCGACGATAATCTTTTATTTATAATTTTTTATTACTATATCGCCCACATATGTCCGATACTAAGCTATCTTTTGACACGTGAAATTTTTAAGACAGCAGAAAAAAAAAATGAGTATCGAAAATAAAGGAACGATAAACATTATTTTAATATTTTTTTAAAGTCTATCGCTCATCGATCGGCGATACTAGTCTACCTTGTGACACGTGGCGAGCAGGCGAGAGTATCGAACTTTTTGCGACGATAGCGGTGTTGGTGGTCAACGTGCATCAGATCTATCGCTTTGACTTGGGCGATACTGCTAGTCTGCTGACACGTAGCACAATGCATCTTTTTATCCATTTGTTAATTATTGTATACCGGATATTATCCAATTTTACTTGGTATATATAGATGAAGGAAGTTCCGAAAATGCAATTTGGATTGGATGCAATTTGGATCGGAGGAGCGGAAGAATATCGAGGTTAGTATATGTTATTATTAATTTTATATTTTTGTATTAATAGTGTAAATTTAGTATAAAATTAATTTGTTTATTTATTTATTGAAAATTAGTAAAACAAATGAAGGATTTAAATAAAACTAATATAATATATATGTAGATTTGTTGATAAGTATGTATTTATAATTTATTATAATAGGTTTATGGAAGAAAATTAGGAAAAATTTGTGGTGATAAACATGTAAAGCTGTGTGGATTATTAACGCATTAGCTAGCTAGTGGCTGCTAATAATTTAATATATATAATTAAAATGAAAGTGGTAATTGATAGGTATCCAAATCCGATTAAAACAGAGAATTAAACAAGTTAGTGTATGATATTTTACATTCAGAACACACCTAACACCTCCCTATTGGATGTTTCTTTAAAGTAAAATCACAAACGTTAATTGACATAGACTACAGTCATACTTGAGATTTATTTCAGCTATGTCATACTATGGAGAACCATGGTGAAAGGTTAGAGAGATACTATGCTATACATATTAGGCTTTCCTATTATGATAGATGGCACACGTATTAAATTATTGAAAATGTGTGAAATGTTATAATTATAATTGAAATATGAATGGGGTCATTTGTTATTAACAATTACATAATTAAATGTGTTTTAATTGAGTAGTATAATTTGTTGATGCAGGATGACTGATTTTGTGATAATTGTATATTGGAATGGTCGAATATTTTCAAGTAATGAAGGTGTTACGTTTGAAGGAAATAATAAAATGATAAAGATTGCACGTGGAATAAGTTTGAAGACATTGAAAAGAAAGATTCATGTAAAATTGAAATTGTTTAGTAGTCAGGTTATATCTAGATTGATTTCACGATTTTTAGTAGACCCGATTGTTAGACAATACACAATTATGGATATATGTGATAATGAAGATATTGATTGCATGTTAAGTGCTTTTCTTCAACAAAATCAGCGAAGTGCAATTGAAGTATATGCAGATATTACATCTGGTGAGAATTCTTGTATTCAGTCACAAGGTGTGGACTTAAATTTATCAGGTTCACGCGATAACATGTCTGAGGCAGATGAACCCTTATTTTTGTCAGGTGTTGTAATTTTATATTGTCTGATGAAAATATATCAAGTTAATTTTATTGTAAGTATGTTATGTCATGGTTGTGTAGAATGTGAATATGAGAATGAAGATGATGATGACAATGAAATTGAATGGAGGGATCCTGAAGAAACTTCATCTGAATCTGATATGAAGGATGAAATTCATAGTAGCTTGAATATAAGTGATAATGCTGGAGTTGAAGGTATTAAGTACATTAAGCTATTATAAAATACGTTTCAATAATAATGTAAATTAAATCGATTATGTTGTAAGATGCCGGGTTGGTTGAAACTCCTTTTTGGAATTCTAGTCCACATTATACCTATATTAACTGGGAACATGTTGATGATGAATTGGAAAATGTAGATGTTGATCCTGATCAACCATGGAGGGAGGGTGATGCATTATTTGTTGGGCAAATATTTGAGTGTAAAGAAAATGTTAAAATGGCAATTAAAAGCTTCGCATTGAAAACACATCAAAGTTATATTGTGGTGGAATCAAAACCAACAAAATTTCATCAAAACCAATGCAGTGATCAAAGTTCTATCTAATGGAAAGTTAGCAAGGTGAGCAACTCCACCAAAGCCAGCCATATGCAAATGAGGTACAATCTCTGCTGGAACACCGTCTATGCCAGCTGGTATGAATTGAGACCTCCTGACCTTCAACATTGGATGCTCTCGCCCATCCAAAATATGTTCAGAGACATGTATACTTTGAAAACGCAACAAAGATGGATACTCTAGCCCAGGATTAATTATCATACCTTGAGATGAAGATGAAGCCAGCTAAATAAATAAAAATATATATTACTATTTAAATATCATTATAAACACATTAAAAACAATTATTCATGTATACAAATTGTTAAACTACTACTAATACAATTTCTAAATTAAATTTAACAGAATATAAATAGAATATAAAATAAAAATATATATAATCCCAATTATATAACCCTTTAAAGTTTTTTTCAAAATTGATAATAATATAACAGGTCTAACACAATAATTATGTATTTTATTTTTATGTCTCACATGAAATATCTGTATACAAATTTCTATCATATATCTATATATTAAATTTTAATGAAAAGTTTCAAATTAATAATTATGCATCAAGCCAATAATAGAAACATTTCATGTTATACTTATTATCTTTTACCAATAACTAATTGTGTATCTTAAAATTAAATTTTCATGATTTAACTAAATTTATATATTTTTCTTATTTTAACTATCATAACATTTATATTTTTTTTCGTAAACATAATAATATTACAACTAATAATATATCAAGGATTTTCATACTTTTTACTTAATAACAATTTTATTTCTAAATCTAATTATCTTGTTATCTTATAAATATAACTAATTGTGTATTTTAAATTTAATATTTTATGATATAACTAAATTTTTATATTTCTTTATATTTTTACTATAATAACGTTTATATTTTTTTTCCTAAACATAATATTACAACTAATATAATATAATTTTTCATACTTTTTACTTAATAATAATTTAATTTCTAAATATATTTATCTTATTATCTTTATTAATATAACTAATTGTCTAATTTAATATTTTATGATTTAACTGGATTTATATATTTTTTTATATTTTAATTATCATAACATTTATATTTTTTTTGTTCCTCAACATAATATTACAACTAATAACAAAATTGCACTACTTATATATATATATATTTTAAATATCAAGCAAAATCTACATATAATCTTTTCTATAGTCTAACTTTACAAAATGTTGAGATTGATATATTAATAAATTAGATTAATTTAATTTTATCTTATATATTATCAACTTTTAATTAAATCAAATATAAATATAAATAATAGATCATATCAAAATTTCGACTAAATAAAAACAAAGGTGAAACTATAACAATATTGTCCCATATATAATTTTGGCATGACCCTTCCACTATTGATTCCTTGCTCATCGAATATCAATGTCATTAATGAAAACGACATAAGGGGTCTAAAAGAACTTAGAAGGATAAGAGGCCAAAAAAAAAAAAAAAAGAAGCCATGTTTCATTATCAGTAATAAACAAAAGAATCATAATTAATTAGTAAAATTTTGAATTTGAGGATAATGGAGAAAACTTGATTGGGCAATGGAGTAGCCAAGATACATAACATGTGTCGGGTATAAATAAAATATGTATTGCATTTTCTCTAATGAATTAAACATGCAAAAATTGGGATCCCTCATATAATATGTGTTTAGATGATTGCAATACCTCGTATGTGTGGATATTCACACCCGTCATTGCAAAATTAAGGATAATGAAAATAAAATAAATTGTATTTTTAAAACATAAAAATTAAAGCGATTGATATTATATTTTAAAAAATTATGAAATTAAACTCAATATATTTTGAAAATGAATACAAATTATACTCAAGTCTCTCTACTCGACTTCATTTTCTTGTATATATATATATATATTGTTTATAGCACTTATACATCAGATAATCATGAATTCTTAATAGATAATGTTTTATATAACACTATTATATTTATATTGATATTATTTATTTTAAAAATATATTATAAAATGTATTTAAATTTTATTTTATATTTATAAATTTTATAACTTATCTTGTTTCACATGTTATCATATATTAATTGAGTTAAATAGAAATTTAAATAATTCACTATAAATTTTTGAAACACATAAAGGATTTGAATTAAATAAAGAGAAAGATAACTCCATCACGACATTGTCCTGTTTATACTCTTGGTATGGCCCTCCCACTCTTTACTTCTTTTATCGAATAGCATAAACAAAAATAAGAAGGAAACAATATTTCACTCTCAGGAATAAAAAAGGAATCATAATTATCGAAAATTCAAAATTTGTTTGGACAATGGAGTATCCAAGAGGCAAAACAAGTGTCCAACAGATAAAATATGCATTGCAATATATTTAATGCATTAAAGGTCAAATATATAACGTGTGTGGATTATTGCAATACCTTGCAGGTGTGTTGATATGCACATTTGCCATTGCAAAAGCAAGTCCAAGCCTCCTTAGTCGCAGGCTACCTTTTTAATATTGAGTAATGTTAGGTTGAGAGAACGAGGAAAATGAAAATAATTTAGTTATTATTTTGATTTTAGTTTTATTTATTTCATTTTTAAATCAACATATTTACTATATAATCAACATTTCATTTCATTTTATTTAAACTCCAATTTTAGAAGTTATTTCTTTTACAAACATAATTTTAAAAATAAAAATAATAGTTTCGTACCCTCAATAAAATGTTAATTTTAAATTTTTTAATCGAAATCTTTCCCTTTGAAGGGAGGGACAATATCTCGGATTTATCGTTGCTTCGTCTCGTCGTTGCTCTGATTCGGAACCCATTTTCTGTGTTCCAATCTCTGCATTCGCCATTCCATCTTTCAGATCAGCATAGTCGGTAAAATCTCTATCTCTCTCTCTCTCTCTCTCCTTTTCTTCTTTGCCTTTTTTTTTTGTTGATGTTTCATTTTCACGATTTGCGCTCAATTTCTTCCCGTGAATCCCCACTGAATCTCAGTGAATTTCGTTTTATCGCAGTAATTATTGGTTTTTTTAAATAATGGCTTTGTTTATGTCACGTGAATTCAGTATGACGCCATTGAATCGAAACTGTGTCGGAAGATTCTGAACTTTCGACACACATAACGAATCAAACAGTACCCTCGTCCTAGTTCTACGATGTATTGGTTGTGTGAATGTTGGTCGGTGCAACACTAGGATACTTTGCTCTCGGACAAACAACATATATAATATAAGAATCGATGTGGAGTTTGCTTTTCCTAATTTGAGTAAAGCACTTAAGTTCTTGTTTGCCACTTTTTTAATTGATAAACTTTTGGTTGTTTATGCATTTTCCATTAAGGAATTGTGCTCATTGATATCTTTCTGCCTGTAAGTAATTTCCACTCCCATTGATTTCATCTAATTTGTGGTTGGGAGTTTGGAAGGGAAAACTTTAATTGAGATCTGTGTTGATTATTCTTGGAATACATGTTAATTGTTTGAAGTATGACAATGAGAGGACAATGTAGTTTTCTATCATAATGTACTTTCTTTCTCATGTTTTATCCATGATTTTTATCGCGTTCCCGTGTATACTAATGGTCTTTGAAGAGCAGTGACTTTGTCAATGAAGTTCATTGCACAACAATTATAATAAACAGAGATTGCTTGCTTTCTTATGTCAAAAAATCTTTCTCATCCTGGATTGCATTGAGTTTTGCAGGGGTAGATATGGCAGTCATTTCGACAATGATGACTAAGCAGCATCTGCTGACCTACATCTACCTTCTAGTTTATGTTTCGCTTTCATCAGGGGTTATTCTGTACAACAAGGCAAGGCACATTTATGCCAACAAATTATTTCATCTAAGTTTTCTGATTTTTTTCTTATACTGTAATATATTTTTCTCAATCTCTTTCCTTTTGTGGGCATTGGTTCATTGCAGTGGGTTCTCTCCACGTTGTACTTTAATTTTCCATTTCCAATAACACTCACTATGATCCATATGGCCTTTTCTGGTGCGGTGGCCTTTTTGCTTATCCGCGTTCTGAAGGTATGAGTCTGTTGGAGTTCCTAATGTCATCAGTTTTAGACTACCTTTTTCTTTATTCTTTCGTTGTACTTTTCTTCTTTATTATTCTGTTCACTCCTTACTGCCATTTCCTTAATAAATATACATTAGTTTTTTCTTTAAAATATTAATGAACTAACCAGGCGATGCCCCCCTCCTCAATTGCTGCAGGTTGTGTCACCCATTAAAATGACATTTAATATGTAAGAATTCTACATGGACATCCCGTTTCACATTTCATTTAATATTTCTGGCTTGACACAATCTGTATGGTTTGCAGATATGCTACTTGTGTGGTCCCTATAAGTGCCTTCTTTGCAGCTAGTTTGTGGTAAGCAATTGATGTCACTGACCTAAATTTGTAATTTGAGCAAAGTCTTTTGTAAATTGAAATGCATCTGTCGGTGCCTTAAATATAACCCCATGCCCAATTCAATTCTATGATTGTAAAATTAAGGCATTTTAGCAAAGTTGATGCTCTACCTTCTCTCTCTCTCTTAAATGTCTGGCGACAGTAGGGGTGTTCATACCCTTATTATGATTTTCAGTTTGTATTCTTTATTTTCATGAACTCCATTTGGACTCTTTTCTGTGCACATTTGCTTAGGGGTGTGGTGATATGAGTGTTGTGGCACAAAATGATGATTATGAATTTTTATTTGTAGATGTGCAAATATTTGACTAACTTTTTATTGGTATTTTATAATATATTTTTATTCATTCTGTTGATTACCTTAAGCATATAATTGGAAATTTGCTGATAAAAGAAATCGATTCTTTACAAGCAACTTCTTGGATCAAGAAAATATAGTCCTGCACAAATGTCATCATCATTTTCTGTTTGCTGTTATAAGTATTAAGAAGTTTTAACTATTATTTTATGGGACATGTATTTGTTATTCATTATGTTCGCAACCTGACCGTCATATGCATTTAGTAGGAAATTGCTAATACACTCATCAGGTCACAAGTTTTTCTGAAGCAAACAAATTATTTTAAAACCACTGATTCAAAATTGTTTAGATTGAGCTTTTAAAGCTTTGGATTTCTTCTATATCGGTATCATGGTTGATTTATCATAAAATCAAATAGAAATTTTGAGTTAAAGTAGTATTAATAGTGATTACTGTAGTACATAGACTTTAAAGTTTAAACTTGTATTAATTAAACCAGCTATAATATTTTTGGTTTAAATTTTATATTATGGTATTACCATTACATAGCCTTTAAATAAGAAGTTTTATTAATTACTTTAGAAACTGGTAAACTTATTCTGCATTGCATGGATATATTGGTTAAATTACTCTATTGTCTATTTAGGTTTGGCAATACTGCTTATTTGTACATTTCTGTGGCCTTCATCCAGATGCTTAAAGCACTGAGTAAGTTTTTTTTTTTTTTTTTCATCTTTCTATCAGACATTTTTTGGGAAGAATAGCATTGACCATCGTTTTCCATTTTTATATATATGTTTTTTCATTTACAGTGCCAGTGGCAACATTTCTCGTGGCTGTTATTTGTGGAACTGAGAAATTGAGGTGTGACGTATTCTGGAACATGGTGCTGGTCAGTGTTGGAGTTGTAATATCCTCCTATGGGGAAATTCATTTTAATGTACTTGGTACAGTTTATCAGGTCACAGGAATAATTGCTGAAGCGTTGAGGCTGGTTTTAACTCAGGTTCTTCTTCAAAAGAAGGGCTTGACTCTAAATCCCATTACCAGCTTGTATTACATAGCACCCTGCAGGTAGGTGTTTTTTTTAAGTATTTGAAAGCCCATATATAGTTCTGCCTACACTGATGGGAGGTTAAAAAGTAAATAAAACAGTTTTTACTCTATAGGATGTTGATGTTGATTTTGGCCTGTTAATTTTCTAGCATCACTTAAAATTATGGGATTTGCATTCCTCATTAGATGCTGTCTGATTCACTTACTTTGTTCAGAAAAATTTACTGTCATATTTTCCTTCTTATCATGTGTCAAACTGTCAATACAAAAATTTCTATTTCTGCCTTTTTTCGTTTTGCATCTTATGCCATGGGCAATAGTACTCACATGCTATATAGTGGGTGAGACATAGGATTGTGGATATCTTTCAGAAAGAAGCAAATCATGATGGTTTTTTTCTTTTTATGTTTTCTTTTGATCTTGTGTTCATGTAATGTATTTATCATAATTCATGTTATGAATATTAAATGTTTGGGTACCTTTGATTAATTTGGTGCTCACTCTTACAAGTCAATGAAAGACCTGTGGTTTGATATTGTGCTTCACCTGTAAATGATTGCTCTGCTGCCTCCTGCCTGGGTCCTGGATTTATGTTTATTTACTGCACTGCTTTGATTCGGGGAATAGGGCTGTGGGGAATACATCTTGGGATATCTGTGTGTCAAAAAAATTGCAGTGGATAACTTATATCTGTATTTTATCTCTTTGAGTAATGATTATTTAAACATCATTGTATGCAGCTTTGTATTTCTTTTTATCCCATGGTATATCCTTGAGAAGCCTGAGATGGAAGATCCACACATGCAGTTTAACTTCTGGATATTTTTCTCAAATGCTCTTTGCGCTTTGGCGTTGAATCTTTCAACATTCTTAGTGATTGGTAGAACTGGGGCAGTAACTATTAGAGTGGCTGGAGTTTTGAAAGACTGGATACTTATCTCTCTTTCAACTGTCTTATTTCCTGAATCAAAGATTACTGGGCTTAATATTATTGGCTATGCTATTGGTATAGTTTCTTTGTTGAAAGACTTTGTTGTAGTTTAATTTCATTCGTAGCATGGATCTATTCTAAGTGTTTCTTCTATGAATAATTTTGAATGCGCAGCTTTAAGTGGTGTTGTTTTTTACAACTACCTGAAGGTCAGGGATGTTCGTACATCTCAACTTCAAAATAGCCAAGATGAATCAGCAAAGGTCAGCCTTTTAAATATTTTTTGTTTGTTCTGTAGTTTGATCAGTATTCATGCATTATTTGTCATTGACTCTGTTTTTCTTGTGTGTTAAATACGTGGATGATGATTCGATTTTATGCTTTATTCAATGAATAAGCATTACCCACTTTGTTAGCTGAGAAAAGTATGGAATTGTGGATACATTCCATGACCATTCCTTCCTAGAGGGGTGAAATTGGCAATTCCATGCTCCATGAAAAGAGATATATTTATTCTTATTAACATGCCCTCTTTTATTTTGTAGAATGATAATTATTATCCATTTTATTAATTATTTTTTTCTACTTTTAAGCTTTATTTTCATCCTACCCCTTCATGTCTTATCAGTAATTTTTAATAGTCATGCAAATTTTTGTTGAATAATAAACATGTGTAAAGAATGATAAAGTATATAAAAATATTGTCAAACACAATAATTATTCAGTATCTTAAAGAAAGCCTCATAGCAAATGTATGGAGTATTTTTTTCCAAAACATTGTACATGCTTATACATTAGATAAGTGTTTGTTCTTTTCAACAACAATTCATTATTAAACTATAAAAAATTTGAATTGAAACATTATACATGAGAAAAGTTAACCTTCTATACTTTTTATCGTGAGGGGATTTACATCATTCAGATCACGTTTGATTTGATTAGACATTAGTTCTGTGTATCAGACAAATGAATGGCTTGGAAACTCATTCCATTCCAGAGCTACCAAGCTGGATTGAGAACGGTCATTCCATACCTTGTGAATAAAGAAATGTGTAATGTTCTATTTCATCATGCCTTCACACACCCATTGAAAACGCATTCCATGTTTGAAAATCTAATTATGGTGCTTTCTGTCTTGAAAATTTCTTCCCATCCAAAGATAGGTTTGACTTAGACTCATTGTTAATCTGATCTCACTTTTCCGTTCCTTTCTGTGGGCATATTCAAGTTTTATTTACCAACATAGCTCTTCTTCAAATATGTTTTCAGCTGAATTTGTTACAATTATTGTTGGCAATGTTAATTTTTTAGGAAGTATATTTATTGGTTCAACTTTTGTTCTTTGCCTTTATAAAAAATATAGGAGTTGTTGATGGATAAAAAAGCTGATGATGATGTGGGTAACATCGAGGAAACTTTGTGGAATGATTCAGTTACTGACACTCATTTGGATGAAGAAGCACCCTTAATGTCTTCTTCACGGATATCTCATTTTGGAAGAAAGCCAGCTTAGTGGCAATCTAGCTTAGAGGCTAAGAACATCTCCTATTGGAAGAAGCCAGCTTAGCAGCAATCTAGCTTTTAGAGACAATGCTTACAGGAACCAAATCAAAGTATCTGTCTTAACCTTTCTTCCCAAAAGGAACACAACGCCTCCTTCCAAAAGAGGAGGGAAAGAACAGAAAGAGAAAGAAAACAGCGGAGGAAACATAGATATTCTTTTGGCAGAGTTGATTACTTTCAAGTTAAAAGTACTAATCAATTCATTCTTGTATAGGCTAGGCTTGACCATGCAGTGAAGGTTCTTCTTCCAAATTGACCTCTTATAACTCTGATTGATGATTCTTGAATTACAAGTGTAGTCAATATTCCTATTTTTAACTTTTTTTCTCGACTGATGCTAACTATTGATTTAAATTTAGTTAAAATTTGGAATTGATATTGTTCGACAACTGCTGTGGCTCAATTATCTTTTACTGTAACCAACTACTGGCCGATATTTCTATTAGCGTGCTTGATATAATTTAGAATGGAAACAACTATTCTATTTCCTCCAATTTCAGGAAGAAAGATTTCATGAAATTGAGAATGGATTATTCCTGAAAGTAATGATTCATATTGGGGGAAAGAAACTCTAACGAAATTCATTTTACTTATTTGTTTGAAGGAATTAAATTGGTCTTATCTTTTATTGCACATCTCGTTTTTATCCTATTTTTAAAATTAATTATGCATTTTATATAACTCCAAATTTTGTATAATAAAATATATTCCTCAGTCACAGTTTTGTGCATAACTCTCGCACAGGTCGGATTTGAGCGCCATTTTTGTCTTTTTACAAAGCTAACACAGCTTTAAAATAGTATAAATTTCAGGGTCATTTTCCTTGTCAATTATCAATTTTGTTCAAATTCGAACCTGTTTTCTGCATGATTTCTTTTCTGACGGCAGTTGTCTTTTTACTCAAGTGACTGGAGCTATTCAGCTCGAAATCACATGCTGCTTGTTCCTGCTGAAGCTAATCAGTTAAAAACTCGGATTTTAAAATGTCACTATTGAAATACCAGCGTGCATTTTAAGTGGAGCTAAGTTTCTGCATATCTTTGTTACCTTTGATTCATCTCTGAAGGTACCCTTCATGTTTTACCTTGATTTCTATCATGTATGAAAGTTAAATGGTGCATCTATGTTCAGAAAAATTAGAGGCTTTAGCTTTAGTTCAGGAATAAAGTAAGCAAGGTTGCAACTTGCAAAACTAATTATTTAAAAGGATAAACAAAAGTTTTGTTACTCTTTAAAATATTAAATGCCCGTGAGGTTAAAAAAGTTAAATATAATTTGTAACTCTCATGTATATCCAGTTTTCAGCGAAAATCTTAAATCATTTTAAATAAGAAAGATATTAAATTGAAGTTAATATTATGCAAAAATACATTTAATATTTTTTAAAACAAGGTTGGCTTTCTCATATTCAATCTTGAGATATACAATTATAAATACTATTTAAGATTTGTTTTATAATTTTTTAGACTCATAATAATAACTTATGTATAATATTTTTTTATTAAAAATTATAAGATATCACAAGATTTAATATATTAATAATATTAAATATTATAAATTTTAATAAAAAATATTGTTATTAATGTCTTACCATGTATTGAATACATGTTAGAAGTAACATTTATTTTAATGCATTAAACTATAGTAATTTTTAAAAAGAAAGATAAAGTTATTATTTATTTTTTAACAATAATACATCTCATTTTTATTTTATTTTTAAATTAATTATACATTTTATATAACTCTAGATTTTTTATTTTAACACACCCATGATAATAATTTTAAAATTTTTTAATCAATATTTTTAACATACCTGTTAACATCTTTTTAATAATTTTAAATACATTATTTTAAGTAAACTCCTATTAGTTTGGAGATTGTGAGCATCTTATAAGTTGATATCTAAGATTTAAAAAAGAACTTCTTAACTCTTAATTTTGTTAAACATCATGAACTTTAATTTAACTAATAATTTTTGTGTGCAACGCTTGTTGATAAGTAACATATAAAATGTTAAAATAACGTCATTTTTATCTTTTCTTCATCATAGTTGCGTCTACCGCTATCTTAAAATCTCTACTGTATCCTGAAACCCTACCTATTCCTCTTTCGCTATCGATGCTAATGCCACCTTCTATATTACCACCTATCCAAGAGTCCCTACTATGTCTTAAATAGTCACATGATCCTTGTTTGTGTTGTTAAATTCTTAATTTGAAGTTAGAGTAATTTGCATCGACTTCACCTTAAATCGTCATCGTTGCTATTACAAGAGCATGAGGGGGAGGGCAGATGGATTGACAAAGTCATTCTTATACCAAGTTCAACCCATTAAACATAAAGGAGATTGACAAGTATTTAGATGGAAATGGAGACATATTTTTTTCAATAGTAACACCAAAAATTCAGTTACAATAAACAGAAATAAAAAATTATTAATCAGACTAAAATATCAATAATTTAAGAAAATCAAGAATTAACTGATATATTTTAAAATCTTAAAAAGCAACTAATTTATTGAATACTTACAATCTGAACGAATAATGTGGGATAATAAGCATACATAGGTGTGTGTGTATATATATATATAACTTTTTTTTTGTAAGTTTTTTTTTAAATTTCCATCCTAATAAGCTACACTTAAAAAAGGAGTTTAATCCCTGAATTATGCACGGTCAAATAAGTCTTCTAAACTATAATTTTGAAACGTTAGTTTCTAGAATTAACAATGATGTTAAAAATAAGCAAGAGTGCTGATTTGTAAGACACACATGTATACATGTAGACTCAAAAGATGTTGTATTTGTTCATTATATAAAGTTTCACTTTCATCCCTAAAATTGACTAGAATTGATGGGATTATTGGGAGGTTGATTAAGGGTTTGGAACAAAGAGGGGTTTTTGAGGATGTCACTGTTATTATGGTGGGTGATCATGGGATGGTTGGTACTTGTAATCAAAAGCTTATCATTTTGGATGATTTGACTCCTTGGTTGAAGATACAACCTGATTGGGTTCACTTTTATACTCCATTGCTTGCTACTCGTCCACCTCCTTCTTATGATCCTGCACGTGTTGTTGCCAAGATCAATGAAGGGTTGGATTCTTGAAAAGTTGAGAATGGGGGCAAGTTGAGGGTGTACCTCAAGGAAGATATGCCAGAACACCATTATGCGGCCAATGATCACATTCCGCCCATAATTGGTTTGGTGGATGAAGGGTTTAAGGTTGAGCAGAGTAGAACTAGTAACAAGGAATGTGGCGGGGCACATGGTTATGACAATGCGTTTTTCAACATGAGGACTATTTTCATCAGACACGATCCTCAGTTTGCAAGAGGGAGGAAGATACCCTCCTTTGAGAATGTTCAGATTTATAATTTGGTTACTTCCATCGTCAAGATCAAGGGTTCGCCCAATAACGGGTCTGCCTTGTTTGTTGAGTCTGTTCTTCTACCTAGTGCATAAATAGAACTGAGTTGCTTGAGATGAGAGTGCGCTTTCTAAGAAAGATGCTTTGAAATATGAACATGATGATGAGATGACAGAAAGAATAGGTGTATCTTATACTTGGATTCTTCTAGGATTAAAGGAATTTTCCTTTGAATCGCTATGCAGTTTATAATTCAATAAATGTTCTTGGAAGGTTAATGTTTTTAGTTTTTGTTACGGTCTAACTAAGTTTTGAGAAAAAGTTAGAATTCATCGAGATTTTTAGAAGAATTATTTATCCGTGAAAAGAAGCTGTAAAACACTGTTTCACCACAACATAGATGCCTACATGTCAAATTTAATGTAATAAATCAACAATTTGTTATTTATTTTTAATATTTTTTAACAGAGTAATGTAATTGACGTTTATTTTTAAATACTATATTTTAAAATTTAAAAGTACTAACTTTGCTCAGATGGCATGTTTCCCATAACATACCATGTTTCAGGGATTAGATAGCCTTGAAAAGAGGAGGCCACGAAATAGTGGCAGTGTGTCCCTTCTCTTATAAAGGGACGAACGCGCACCAAAAATAGTTTCAAAAAAGAGGGAGCGAGTGTGAAGTGTGGAGAAGAGAAGAGTTGGCATTTTGACAAGTGGATGGATGGTGCAAAACTCGCGCAACGAAAGCGGCGTGTACGCGGCGGCGAAGATTTCAGTGTGGTGGGACATCGAAAAATGCCCCGTTCCCAAAGGGCACGACGCAAACTCCATCGCCAATAACATAGCCGCCGCTCTCGTCAACATCAACTACAACGGCCCTCTCTCCATTTCCGCCTACGGTGACACCAACCGCATTCCCTCTCCAGTCCAACGCGCTCTCTCCAGTACCGGCATTGCCCTCAACCACGTTCCCTCCGGTTCCAACTCTTATTCATCCTTTTCAGGTTGCAAAGATATGAAGATTCTCGTCGATATGCTGTTCTGGGCCGTAGACAATCCCGCCCCTGCTAACTACTTAATGATTTCCGGCGACAGAGACTTCTCCATGGCTCTCCACCAACTCAGCCTCCGAAGATACAACATTCTCCTCGCCCAACCGTTTCAAGCTTCTGCGTCGCTCGTCGCCGCCGCTAAAGTCGTTTGGCTGTGGACCACTCTTTCTGCCGGTGGCGCCCCTCTTTACATTGCTGATTCTGATTCATCTTCCGGTAAAATTAACCCTACTCCTATTTTCGAACCCGTTCAACTCAAATCTAAACCTAAATATGTTAGGAAAATCACGAACGTGCCAGAAAGTCCTACAAAATGTGTGGCTGATGATGATGATAATGCGAAACCGCTAACGAAGCTGATTTTCAAAGCACCTCATGAGTTTTTTTCTTGTAACGACGTGATAGTTCCGAATACCGTAGTTCAGAGTTTGGCGCCACCTTCTGAGTATGTGCGAGGTCTTGTTGATGTTGTTATGAGAGCCTTGAACACTCTTAAGGTTGAGATGGTTTTGTCCACTGAGGGAAATATAACTGATTGCATTCGCTATGGGGATTATAGATATCAGAGAATTGATGTTAGGAAGGCTTTGGATTTTGCAATAGAGCAACATGGGGTGGTGAAGAGAACCTTCGGTGCACTGCATTTGTATGTTGGTAAGGATGGGGGGCTCTGGAAGTTTGTGAACCATGTTGGTGGTCAGCCCAGTGATTTCCCAGAAGCCACGTGGGATAGAATAAAGCAATTTATTGCTTCATCTTCTGGAAGATCGTCAATTTTGGCTTCTCGTTGCAGGTGTGTATATCTTTGTAAATATTGTTGCTTGAGCTTCTTGAGGATTTATTGCTGATTTGTTGAGTTTTTAATTAGATATGAAGCGTCTTTGATTATAAGGAGATTGTGCCTTGGAGAGTTTTTATTAGGGGATGTGCTTCGAATTCTGGAGATGGTAATCACCGTCAAGAAATGGATTATTCATCGTCATTCCGGATGGCAGCCTATTACCATTACGCTTATGGAGACTAAAGGTGATACACTGTAATTCTAGTGTTAATCTGGCCGGATCAAATGTGATACCAAACGGTGATTTTTTGCGGTCAAAACACAATATAAAAATATAGTAACTCAAGGTGAGAATTGACATGGTTAGGATTTTGTCGATAACTAGGGATATGTAGGAAATTGAGACAACTCTATCGTGAACAACTTCAAGTATAAGGTGGGCAGATTCCGCCAATACAGTTTATACATTGCAGAATTTTCCCTGCAATTTCTCTGTTCCTCGCGGTTTTGTGGAGATTGTTATCTGATGTTATGCTTTTCATGTCTATACTTGCATGCATTTAGTCGGTGGTGGGAGAGTGGTACCCTATCTTTTGGCTCGTAAAATCAAAATGTGGCTTTGTTAAAAACCAGAGACGCAGAAATCGCATATAAACTTGAACTGATGGTTGAACAATAGTTTTTTAAAGGCTGATCTCATGGGTCGTGGGTGTGTGCTAGAAACTAGGAGTTTTATAATTTTTTGATGGTACAACAACAATGTTTTATATTACTAGGTCAAGTCAGCTACGTTGATCCAACACCACCAGACTCATCAAAAATCAAAATTTTCAGAGATAATATTTATCTTGAGATCTCTTTCAGTGATTTGATTTTATCCAAAGTTTTTTTGGTGTACCTCTATTCATTTTCATAAAGATTGTCTTCATTACTATTTTTGATAACCTTCTTTGCATGTGTCTAAAATACCGTAATTTTTTTATTATATTCTCCTCAATAGGTGCTACTATAATTTCTTCACATTTGTAATCATCTTCTATCCTATTTAGGAGGAGAAAGGTTGTATGTTTCGATGAATAAAAAAAGAGGAAGGGAAAAATTTTAATGTAGGGTTCAAAGGAAAAAAGTAAAATTGAGATGACAGTCCACTTTTTTTTTTTTTGTTTCATTGTTTGGAATTATTAAAAAATTATTAATTAAAGGATATTATAATAAATAAGTATTTTTAATTAATTTAAATTTTTATATTTTCATAAATGCTTTTTATTATGATTATTTTTTTCACTCATCCAAACAAATGGAGAATTTTTTTTACCATTACTTTGCCTTTTATTTTTACTAATCTAAAAAATAAATATTTTTCGCTCTTTTGTTGACCTTTTTCTTTTTTTCCCTTCAACTTGGGCTCTCATCTAAATATTTACACATGCTGCATGTTGACCCAGAGAGAGATGCATGGCATTCCTCAGAATCCGCTTGTATTGAATCGAAATGTAATTCACTTTACAAACTACATTAATTATCACTGATTTAATTTCACTTGCATATTGATATACGGTATAATATTGTCCGCCAATTACAACAAAAATATTTCTTGGTGGAAACAAATATCAAGTTACCCGCTTGCTCGAAAAGGCATCAAGGAAGAAATGGATTGTGTGAAAGGTATTCCTCCTTCTGCTTTTTATAAGCCCTGCGAGATAATAGCAGAATGGATGTCATTTTATAAATGAACTAAACTATACGGTTTCGTTGCAATGAATTCGAAAAATGAAAATAATCGACCACAATATTGGTTGTTAGCCACCTCGAAGCATTGAATCCTCCAAGCGCAACCGTTCCCACAATGATCAAAATGAATGGCACTTTAATCATAGCATGGTTTTTCCTTCCTCCATAAGCCCTCGGAACTCCAGTTCTCACAACATGTGAAAATTCAACTGAACAAGAATTATGCCGCATTTTAAATAAGGAAAATAATAACTGAAGGATTAGTTTTACATGATGCAAGGGAGGATTCGGAATAAGAATTTTACCTGAACTTGAAGCCTCTCCTCTCCCACCTGCGTTGGGAATTTTATTCAGTACATATATGAACAAGTGCAGTTCTGATTTTTGTTAAACCCCTTCAAGCAGTAGGGCAAGCTCAAGGTCCTTTCAAGGGGTGGAAATTAGCGTTCCCATTATTCTTTGTGTTTTATGAGATAATCGTGCTTTTGTTTGTATAAGTTTATTTGGATGTGTAAATATATGGACCTTTCTTATTGCTCTAGGCAACTTATCATCGTATGTTTTTAACCACCATATAAGATGGAAGTTGAAAAACGAGAGGAACAGAAAGTGCAAATTACACTTGTCAGAATATTAGGACAAAATCCAAAAGATTTCATTCAAAATAATGAAATATATAATCTTATTTCCTTCTACATGGTTATTGTAGACAATCAGGCATGAAAATGCCAAGAAACGCTGATAGTTCCCAGAATACCAAGAACACAAGCTAAAATTAATAAAAGGGGGCTTTTGCAAAGTTTTTTTTTCCTATAATCTGGTCTTCAACTGAAACAATATACTCATTTTGACCATTGGCCTCCTCTGAAAAGTTTTTCAACACATTTTTTATGATTTACTCCTGAAATTGGAAAACCAATATTATAATCATTTAACACAACCATAGACCTCTGTTGAATTTCTTTAAAAATTTCGGTGATCCATTCAGGAGTTCGCAATACATGAGCAACATTTTGGAATATTTACTCTTTGAGTACAAGGGGCCTGGAGAATTACCAGACAGCAGGCATGTGTAAGCTTCTGAAATCTGCAGCAAAACATAAGAGTTCAGTTATTCCTTCCATTGAACAACGGAGAATTGACGATGATCAAGGGCAGTACCATCTCCTCCTAAAGAAAACCAACCCTTAGCTCAATTTAGCACAATATCAAATCAAGGCCAGGCATCGGGGTTAACAATGCCAGAGTCAGAGAAGGAACCATAGGAAAAGCCAATCTAAATTGATGTGAATTAGTTCCTTTATTAAAGAAGGAAAAAAAGCCTGCACGTTTTATGATAACATTTGTTCTCCACCTAAAATCATATAACATGGAAACTATTGTCTTTGCATCAATCTCTAAAACAGATTAAATGACCGTCATCTTCATCCATGACACAGTTGACCATGTAGGAAGTCATGACAAAATTTTTCTCCACAAAATCACAGACTCGTGAATCAGTTTACACTTAACAATGAGCAAGTTCTGAAGTGAAGCACACTGAAATACGAGGTTAGACTCATAACAAATGTTTTACTGTCATAATCTAACACCAAGTCAAGTCTCCAAGAACATCATCACGAGATGAAAACTCACCATTTTAAACTTGGATTCAGCAAGAAGCTTTTCATGAGATGGAAATAGGTCAGGGTGAGATTCCCACACCTTCTTCTTGTAAGCTGATTTGACCTAAACAAAGGGAAACAATCAGAATAGGGTAAAAAGTTCAAGTTCAAGTTCAAGACTACTTCAGGATAGAAAGATGATTACTTTTCAATTATCATCAAGTCATCAACAAAAAGCAACAATTAACTAATCCACTGGGGATTAGGGAAAAGATGGGCAGAACTGATAATAAAAAAAATGGGTGAGGCTCAAAAACTGAACTTGAGCTTGAATTTTGATTTTGGCAATGCGAATGAAAGAGGTAGAAACCCTAAAGAGAATAAATGAGAAAATGGGAACACCTGTGAAGGAGATGGACGTGAATTGGGTGGAAAACCCAGTAAAGTTTTGGCTTCTTCGGCATCCATTTGTGAAGAGATGTGAGTTTCAGTGCCACATTTAGCCTCAAGCTTTTGATTGCAGAGGAAAACAGGGTAATTTCAATCACAAGCGTTTTGCTCCCGCCACCTCTTACCTTTCCCTTTCAACTGTCTTCTTTTTTGTCCTCCAAAAACAAACAAAAAAAGAGTTTCAAGGAAATTTTGTTTGTATAGCACTATATGGAAGGATAGATAGATAACATACGCAAATTTAAGTAAAAGAATTCAAATAAAGACTTTAATAAATTACATACATTGATTTAAATAAAACTTATAAATATGAAAAATATATTACAGTTTTTTGAAAATAATTTAAATTGTAAATCGTGCTAACCTTTTTACTTTTAAAAATATAATCTTTCTATAAAATATTAGTCTATGTTATGCGTTATTTTATTTTATTTACTTTTTGGGAATATCATCTTTTTCAATCTTGTTTGAGGTGATAAGTATTAAATGTTTTTTTTTTCTAGCGAAGATTTAAGTCACCGTTAATATATGTTACTGTTTTATCTATTTTTATGTGAAAAAGTTAACAGGGTCAATTATTTTAATTATTTTTCCTCTATTTATAATTTTTTAACATCACTAATAACTAATACTAAATACTCTATTATTAACTTTTTTAAGATGAAATGAAAATTTTATGAAGTTTCAAATTTTATTTTATGAATGTTTAAAATGTTATTTTTATCTACCAAAATCAGAAAATCAATAATTTAATGTATACAAATAGCAGTATGTGAACTTAGAAGTTTAAAATGGAAAAATAAAACACTTTTATAACTGATCACTGTCAACAAATTCGTCAACGTTAAAATTAAATAAAGTATATTACATATTATTTTTAAAATTTTATTTGAAAGTTAATTTTAAGAAAAAAGAGAGATTAGGAAAAAATTTGTTTAGTAACTCCGTGAATGTTTTTAAAGAGTGAGAAGAAGGGTTATAGAGTTTTTATTAAAAATTTATAAAATCATTTTTAATTTTAAATTAAAGAATATTTTTAATCCTCATTTTTTGTCTCTTTTATACTTTCTCCTTTTACTTTTCAATTTTTTTTCTAGATTTATAAATACAAATTTAAAAAAGGAGTATAATTTTCTCAAATAAAAAAATTAATATTTAAAATTATAATATATATAATTAAAATAAAAATTAAAAGATAATTTTTAAAAAATTCAGTAATTGAAATATTTAAACTAAAAACAAGGGTTTCTCCTTTAAATATAAAAGACATGTAAATATATATTAACTATGAGAAGATTTTATGGAATTTACTTACTTTTAAAGTAAGTTTTACTAAATTTATTTTATTTAATTTTTAATAAATTTTAATTTTTTTAATTCAAATATTAAATAAAAAATTATCATTTAATAAATTAAGTATACACGATTTTAAAAAATTATTTAAGAATCTGGTAATAATTCATGAACCAACCTTATTATACTTTTTAAACTATAAATAAATATCAATTATAAGATAATATATACCAATTCACTTTGCACTCACGATTATTTTCGTATAGTCAAACCTAATTACCTCTAATGAGATTTTTAACATTGATAATATAACCATCCTAAATAATTTGCACGGAATTAGATCACCAAAAATTAAAATTACAATGCATAACAAATGAAATACTTCTGAATATGTTGGGAGTAAAGAAAATTTTCTAAGCTACAAAACCATATTACATGATATAATTTTTGAAGAGTTTTTCAAGTTCCTTACACCCAAAACTATTTAAAAAATAGGACTAGTAAGAAATTACTAGTCCACAAAATTGAAGATGTTTTTCAAGTGTTTTGAGGAGTTTTCAATTTTCTTACACCTAAAACTGCTCAAAAAAAAGACTGGTAAAAAATTACTTTAAGTCCACAAAATTAAAAGCTTATTTTTAGGTGTTTTGAGGAGTTTCAAGTCTCTTACACCCTAAACTGCTCGAAAGCAGGAATAACAGGAAAATATTCTAAGTCCATAGGACTGAAAATCTTTCGAGGAGTTTATGAGAGTTTTTAAGTCTCTGACACACAAAATTACTTGAAAAACAGAAAATTGTTAGAAAATATTATAAGTTCTCAAATCTAGTTGAGTTCTATATTCTCTCTAGAATTGTTTAAAAAATAGGAATGAACAGAGAAAATATTTTAACTCCATAAGGTCAAGATAAGCTCTCAGACCCCTAGAATTAGTCAAAAAGAGAAGTCAAGAAGAAAATATTCGAAGGCCATAATGCTAAAGGAGCCTTTTAGATTTCGTCCAAAATTGCTCGAAAGAGAAAAAATAAAAAGTCTTGATAGGACTCAAAAACTATTGCAAGGTTCAAAAGCACCTAGCAACAGTTACCACCAGACGAAGGTTAAATAACATGAAAACAGATCGTGGACTGTAGCAGTTATAGAAGAAATTCCAACCGATAGCACGATTACAAATAATCGTAGATAATGGGCATCAGCAGTTGAAGGTAGTTATTAAGAAGTGTCCGCCAAAGAAGGAGAACGACGGTGATCCTCTTACCTATAAATACTTTAAAGCTTCATTTTCCTAGGAGACGACTTTTTGTACTCAGACACCACACCTAAATTCTCTAAACACTGAAACCCTGTACCGCGCCAAATACCAGCTACGAGGGGACTCACGGTAGTTGCTGTTCGCTGTTGTAAAGAGTCGTACGTTATATTTCTGCATATTTACGTTTATGCGTTTCAATTATAGTTTCCTTTATTTGTTTGTTTCCTTTTGCTTTTGTTTATGCTATTCAGTGCTTGTTTTGCATGTTTTATGTAAAACCTTTACATTTAATCATTTTCACATAATTATGGCTTATTACTCCTGTTAAATATTCTATTTTACAACGTCAATTTGAATATTACATTAAACGACATACTTAAAAGAATCCAAAGATGACTTAAATCCAGTCCCTAAATTGCTATTGGATTATTTGTTTACAAATTGTCATTTTTTACCGTAATCAAAGTGTTAAAGGAATATTTTGTTACTTGTTTCTTCTTCCTCCTAGGTCTCAAAGTCTCTTCTCTCTATATTCGTCTTATTCTAAACTTTTTTTTTTATACTCTTCTGTACTTGCTATAATATGATATGGTTATAGCCTTTCTCATTGTAAAAAACTTCATTATAAGAAACTCATAATAAATAACACTATGTACAGAAAATTTCATTCATAGCTTGGTGAAATGTTTCAACTATTACAAACTCTTATGTATATATAGTTCTTAGCAAAAAAATTAAATCATTTTAAATAGTCAAGTTAATATTCTCCTTTATTATTTTAAAAAATATTAAATGTATTTTTGCATGATATTAACTTCAATTTAATATTTTTCTTATTTAAACAATAAAAAAATTAAAACTTTATTGTTCAAGAAAGTTGACTTTCTCATGTCCAATCTTGAGATATGTAATTATAAATATTATTTAAGATTTGTTTTATAATTCTTTAGACTCATAATAATAACATATTTAGTAATTTTAATTAAAAATTATAATATATCACAAAATTTAATACATTAATAATATTAAATGTTATATTTTTTTAATAAAAATATTGTTATTAATATTGAATGTATAATTATTATTTATTTTTTAACAATAACACATCTCATTTTAATTTTATTTTAAATTAATTATACATTTTATATAACTCTAGATTTTTTATTTTAATATACCTATGATAAATATATATTAATTACAAATTTTAAAATTTTTATCTAAAATATTTTAATCAATATTTTTTAACATACTTGTTAACATTTCTTTTATAATTTTAAATATATAATTTAAAAATAAATAAATTGTAAATCGTACTAACCTTTTTACTTTTAAAAATATACTCTTTCTACAAAATATTAGTCTATGTTATGCGTTTCTTTTTAACATTTTGGGAATATCATCTTTGTCAATCTTGTTTGAGATGATAAGTATTAACATCGATAATATAATCATACTAAATAATTTGCACGGAATTAGAGCACCAAAAATTAAAATTACAATGCATAACAAATGAAATGCTTCTGAGTGTTAAAGGACCTGCCATATTTTTTGAATGTCGTGAGAATTTTTTTGTTTTAAAGATGCAACGTAAATATTTAAGTTTTCTTAATTGGATCAATAGCCAAATGTAACTTAAATGCTTGAATTATTCCTTTTTTTTTTCTCTAAGCTCTTCTTGCAGTAATTTATCTATTTAAAATTTGAAATTAAGCTTAATCTTAACTATATGATGATAAATCTAAATAATCAAACAAATTTAGTTAAGAAATTATAGTTGATATGTACCAACAATTTTTTTTTAAAAAAATGAAGAAATTGTTGAGACTGAAATCAATATTTATGATTAAGAAAAATTGCATCTAGGTATTCTTGTTTTTCCCTAATGGATTTATTTCCCTTAAAATAAAAAACATATGAAGTGAGAAAATAATGATATTTTTACTCTTGATTTAAATCAAGGCTATATATATTGCAAACTTAACTAACTTTTTATCAATTAAGGATACATTTTTACTTTTTTTTTTTACTTTATGATATTTCTGACTTTATAAGATCCAAGTGGCTCCTAAAATGACTAAGATATAGTTGTGTGTTGTCCCATATGGGCGTATAAATTTGCTAGCACAATATTGTATATACAAGTAAATTAATAATCCTTCCCTAGAACCAAGACTGATATAGCGAATAAATACGAGCCTCTTAATTATCCATAACTCATTATTGTATTATTAAGAGATAATCTATTATGATCCAAAATAAAGTTGTTATGGAAAACAAAGCCTTTCAAAGCCACACCAAGTGGTTCTCCTAGAAAATAGCTCGAGAGGCTAGCTGAAGAAATAGTCTCCCTTAGACCCAATAATGCCAAATTAACAATTAACCTCATCAACATAAAAGACTCTTTCTCGCCAACAATAAATATGTCATTCATTCACAACAGAACCAACCCAAAACTCACCAAATATACACATTTTTTCAAATTTATTAGTCTAAAAATAAAGATTTCTGTCAGAATTATAATTTATTATTAAATAATTTATAATATTTTATACTTGTTAAATATTAATTAAAAAAATTTTTT